TACAAATAATTTGATTTGTCAACAGTTTCAAATTGTCTAGGGTAACTTAGGAGACTCTCTACAGGGTTAGCATAATAGATTTTATAGGTAGCAGTATACCATTGTCCCTTCTAAGTATAGGTAGGTAAAGAAATACTGTGATATTAAAAATCGCGCCCAAACCTCTAAAAAAATATGAAGATTATTTTACTTTGGTTCCAGAAGCGATTCGCCAATCACAAGCAAAATTATTTAGTACCTCACATAACAATAAGAACACGTAATATGAAAAAGATAACTTCAATATTTAACCTAAAAATTGGTTAATATGTTATACAGATTAGATAAAGATACAGAAATAGTTCCAAGATTAAAGTAGAAGGTAAAGCTATTATGTATGTGATTTCATATACGGTGGTGAATGTATTGCGTTGCTTTCTTAAACGTTTTTAGCATAAATCGAGTTAAATGAAGGATGATATTTTATGGAAACCACAGTTAGTTACAGGAGTGTGAACTTACATAATGTGGACATATATTATTAGCCTCTAGCAGCTTAATTATGGTGATTGTGATTGTTATGCTGTTCTTGAAGCACTGCTATCATATGTTTCTATCACAAGCTGTTATCTCAAATAGACTTCACCTTAGATAGTTAGAGTATGGATTTGTATAATTCATTGTAGTTGTGTTGTGCTATTTTTAGCATTACTAATGTTTATGCCATTAGTATATGAAAATAACTACATCAATTAGATCACACTAAGACGTCATATAGGAGGAATATAGACTGTGTGACTGGACTGATAGCCTACTTACGGTGACTGAGTTTCGCTGAAAATAACTACCATATATCAACTAGATCACATTAAGACTATAGATGGTCATATAGGAGGAATATAGACTGTGTGACTGGACTGATAGCCTACTTACGGTGACTGAGTTTCGCTGAAAATAACTATATCAACTAGATCACATTAAGACTATAGATGTTCATATAGAAGGAATATAGACTGTGTGATTGGACTGATAGCCTACTTACGGTGACTGAGTTGCGCTGTTTCCTGCAGTATTATTAGCGGAAGGTGACTATATGAAATATTTTTACTCAGCTCACATTTAGATAGTCGCAGATATGGACTTATCAGATTAATTGTGAATTTGCTTAAAGATCGATCAGTCTATATAGCAGACTATAGCAGAAGGTTTTATTGACCATTCAGTTGTTGTATAGGTCGGATGACTTGAGATTTTCAGGCATCATAGCAACGCTTCCGAAGAATAGTTTCTTTTATGATTTTCTTTGCTCTCTTAAAATTGGATTGGATATGGGTATGCGTTCTCATGATATAGTGGCAAGAATACACTTATATAAATTACTTGTATAACTTTCATGACTAATAAAAAATGTTCTTCTCTAACAAAATTCATCGATTCACAGACTCATATATTTTTGAATTGAAAGATCAGAAGAATGATAAAATCTTTAACAATATTTTTAGTCACGAGTTTTTTTTTTTTTGTAGTTGCAATTCACTTAAAAATTCATACATTTCATGTGTTGCATTTATGGCGAAAGTTTCGACTTCAGTTAAACTGACTGAGATATTAATCACGTAACCGTTTTCCATAGCTGCACGTAGTGGGTGCATGTCATATGTGTGCATACATCAAAGGAAGCCTCTATAAAATTTTATAGAGCCACTGTAAAAGTTGAGTTGTAAAGCTAAGCAAGAGATGAGATAAAAATATTATATTACTGCGCTTCAATTAAAAAAAAAGAAGCAATTGTTAATCTGAAAACTATGAAAATAGAAGCTAACATGATTCAGGAAAAAAAAAAATTAATTCATAAAATAGACAACGATCGAAAAGAATTCTCATATAGAATTCTGGGAATTTTACCAGCAGATGACAGTTGAAAACTTTCCTCTTGCCCTTTATTTCTATTCGTGTTAGTTATATATTGTATATAAAATTATATTCGATATTCTCAGAACTTGTGTTAAAATTACCTAATCGACACTAAATTTTATAACTATATAATTTAGTTTCTAATTATTATAAACTAAATTCGCTGTAAATTAAATATTTTACTAGGTGTTAGCTAAGTATTTATACTAATTTTAAGTCATTTACGCCCCTTAATTTTAGAACATAATACAATTAAATTCAGAGAAACTAATATATGTTAACATTTTATTATATGTTATAAACAAATTACTTAATGTAATTGTACAAAAATAACTTAATATTGCTATTCAAATTTAATGGTACTTCACACAATGTCACAACCCATTTCCAAAGTAAATTTTTTAATTGTTTATTGCGCAAGTACTCAAATAAATTATTATTTCAGGGGAAAAATGTATTATTTAAAATAATTGGTTGTAATGTAAACAACAAGAGGAAACCAGTTTTCGCAAAATAAATTGATTCGAGCGCCAATTCCAACTTTTGGCTTAGATAATAACAAGCCAAGTTGCAAAATAAAAGTAAACACAAAGAAAATAACAAAAACAATACAAAAAACGAGGTAACTTTAACTGAACGCAAAAAACGTAAACAGAGAGAGAGCGAGGGAGAGAAAGAGAGAGCTCAGCTTTGTTAGCCCAAAGGGTAAAAGAAAGATAGAGCGACTCCAATTGAAACTGGTAAAGCGCAGCGCACATCACAGCAGCACAACTCAAATGACAAACAAAACTATACGGAACATGCAGTATAAAAAAGCAGACAACGCAGCAGAACAATGTAAAAGTGAAAGATAAAGAAGTAATACGAATCCATGAAATTAGGTGAAATTTTACTTTCATTGTAAAACAGGAAATTGTATAAAAAAGCGAGTTGTTAGATTTTTTTTGATTTTTATAATAGATGCATTATAGTCATTAAAAATTCCATTTTATCTAACTTATATTGCACTTATAATGGTAATAGAATTAATTTTATACAACACTTACTCATTTTTCAAATAGTTAATTTTCACTAGATTTGTTTGTCTAAAAAAAATCAAAAAAATAAATGCACTTTTCCTTTAATTATTTGCATATGTCTTGCACAATCGTATTTTATTGAAGCGGACACTGTAATGAACAACAACGCAGAGCAAACCCGAATGAAATGTGCAAGATTACTTTTACTTTTTCATCGCCTTTGATTCTGCGAATGTCTGATACATAACATAAGAAAGACTTATTAGATGTGACACATTAGCAAACATATAAGTATTAGATAACACATAAAACTATGATAATTGCATAGAATATAAATTTTGGTCATAAACAAACAATTTGTATGGAATTGTTTGTATAAAACTATTAAAATTATTTAAATAATTTATTTTCAAACTAAAACAATGTTTTTACTTCTTAAACTTAAAGCTTATTAGCACATTTTTGTTTGGATTATGTTCATATTAAACTTTACACATTTGTTGTTTTTATACAGTAACATAAACGATATATAATTCAATTCTTACGCTTTTTCACGTATTATAATTCACCTAACAATATATATATATAGTTATTTTAAATCGTTAGTACCCGACATGCACTGAAATGCATAATTGTCATGGCTCAATTGTGAAAAGTACCAATAATTAAAATATTTTGACTTCTAAGGTATAACAAAAATGTATATGATATGTATTCATACTATTGAATGTAAAATATTTCGATAGTAATTGAATTTGACTAATACAGTTGTTTTCCCCAAAAATTTTTATATCAAATATTAAGGAATGTTAAATAATTGTGACGTGGTTTTATAAATGCCTATTCGAAGAATGTTGCTTTGATACTAAAAAATACATTGTGTTCTTGTAACATGGAATCATTTAATATTATAATAAACAAATCATTATGTTCACTTAATTTAGTACTCAATAATATAAATAATATATATCTATTTAGGCTATACAATTAATGAATTCAACAAAAAAGTGTAAGAAAACATTTATTACAATAAATTCAAGCTGATTGTCATATTATAATAAATTTATTAATTCCTATTCTTCGATCTCGTTATTTCTATTGCATTCTATAGAACGTAGTTTCTTCTACATATATATATATATAAAACCAGCACATCTAGTAAAACTGGAAATCATATCAAGTAAAACTGGAAATGAAAACTAATAAAATGCTACATAAGTTCATTTGCAGCTGGAAAATACAATTAGTTAACACGATACGGTAAAAAAAATAAAGAATAGCAAACTCTTCGGAAGTAGTATAGTGAACAGTCAAACCGTCGAGGAGGGACATTCTCTTTTTGTTAGGGCCATGTTATGTAGAGAGTCATAGGCTCGTTAAAATCAAAATTGTTATATTTTTCAATGCAAATTATTAAATTTAGTGAAAGAAAAATTAATATGTCGGTTTAAATTTGGCCATGAGAGTCGAGACTATCTGTGCCTTGTGTGAATGAATTTGTTGTTTCAATTTCTGAAAACATTACGTTAGTATTTAATTTAATAATACTAATTTAATCTAACAGAATTTTGAAATTTAATGTAAATGCGTCCATTTGGAATACATACAAATTTTTATAATGTATTGCAATATGTTACATCCATTTAAGCGTTGTTAGAAGCAATGAAGCCTTTTCCAACACTGTTTGTGCAATTCGGTGCAAAATGCAAAATAATTATAGCGTTGTTTTAATTTTTGTTTCCTATTTTTTGTTCAAATATTTTAATATTTTAAATAACTAATCATTTATTAAGAATACAGTGTAAATAAATATAAATATTAAACTTGTGCAGCATGTCGTTACGCACGCTTAATATCGAAGTACGTAAAAACCTGCACTGCGCCAACGTATTTTTGCAATTTGACCAAAACTTAACAGAAACAGAGTTCCTAAAAATAAACGTAGAAGAAAATGCACTCAAGTTACGTGGTTTGTCTACTGAAACTAACATTGATGTCACTAAGTACTTCACAATCGAAGCTAAAACGATGAGCAATCTTACGGTGGAGGAATGCAACGCTAGCTTTCGTTTAAGCATAAACAACATACAAAAAGAAGCGAAAGCAGACCAACGTAGAAAGCAAATTTTTGCGCCACAATTGCTTGAGGGTACCGCAGCTACACTCTGCTGTGCAAATTGTGAGTGCATTTTAATAAATGAACAACAGTTTAATAAAATACGTGAATTTCCCACTGGCACTGTTGATATGGGGCAATTTTTTTGCCACCACGGTCCGAGCTTCGACAATATACTTGTGCCACAAACTAATGATTTATTCTATGGATTTGAATTTATAGTTTTAAATTATAAAACGCTGGAAACAGCAACCAAATACAAAGAGGGACATATATACTGCAAACGTTGTCTACAATACTTAGGATGGACTATGTTCTCTGACAAAGCAGCGAAATTATGGACTGATACATTGCATTTTCAAATTGAAAATAAGAAACAAGATATATTTTACAAGCATCCTACACCGTTGACATCACAATTATTACAGAGAATTATTAAAGATGCCACTGTAGATATGGAACCACTGCTTACACAAATACAATTTTCGAAAATTGTGCTGCAGTCTACTTTTCCAAATCGGAAGTATAAGTATGTATTGCTGCAAATACTCGAAAAGGAATTGTGCGTTTTACGTAACGAAACCCCATTAGCACTTGGCGGTGTTAACAATAATAATGTTTTACAAGTGGAGTTGGAGCCGTACAAAAGCTTTAAATTACTTTATAGACTTATTGAGGATGAAAGTGAGGAAAGCAAGTCAACAGTTTTGTTGAATTATTGGCAACAAGATATAAGTATAAGCACTATGCAAATATCACCTACGCTTTTTAGCAATCTGTTAGGCGAGTTGGACGAGAACTCTTTACTGTTGCCGGAAGTGTACAGATTTACGCAAGATGATTTTCAACTAAGCTACATCTTCTATAAAAACTAGTCAACAAAAAAACAAAAAGGAGTAAATTATTAAGAATTAAAATTGAAACATTAAATTTATACTGAATATAGTCAAAAAATGTTTAAAGAAACAACTTGCAACTTAACCTAAGTAATTTCTAGTTAATATATATTTTATTAAATTAATTATACAATTTTTTAAATATTTTGCTATTTTTGCAATTGATTACAGTTTTGCAATATATTTTTTTTAATATTGTAATAATAAATTTAAATATTTTTATACGCTTAACTTTAAGTAGAAAACTAAAACTAAAAAATGTAAACTAAATTTACTTCTCATTTGTAAACAATATGAAACAGGGCGATATACTCAATGCATTTTTATTGTACATAAACTTAAATTTAAAATAATTTTAAGTTAAATGTTATAATTGCATATATTATATTGTCATACATTAATTGATTTTGACAACCTTTCATATATTTAATATAACCTTTTAATAGTAGTTTATATGCCTTGCAAAAAACTTTTAATTTAACATTCAAATTTTCTATTACGATTAGTAAAATGATTAAATTTTTTATCATTTCACTTTAAAGCTTAATAGTATTAAATCTTCAAAGTACATATTTATATAAGTGCTACAGCCAATTGTGTTCATTAGTTTATATATAGTTTGTAAGCATTAGAATACATATTTAAAATTAGAAATTATTTATATTGAATGTATATGTAATCGAGGTACATATTAAAATTTATAAGTATTAAAAATATGATTTTTTTTCTTTCTAAATATTGTTAAACTTACGTTCGTAGGCCTCATAGGTTAGAGTAGTGAATATTGCGTCAGTAATTAATTGATTTGTTGTAAATTTAACTTCTTTAGCGTTTTCCATAACGATAGCAGATTTCTGAACTAGCTCTAAAGTAAAGGAAAAATTATATTTTTTAGTTTTGCAGGAAATCTAATTTGTTCTTGACAGAAATTAAAATTAGATTTCGATTTTTAACAGCTTCAAGATTTTTATCCGCTTACTTTGTTGATTTGTTGTGAATATTTAAAAAAAAAATATTTTTAATTAATAATGTTTATTATTGGATGAGGAGTTGATTATTATTTTTTTTATTAACGTTTTTGTATTATTTCATATGTTGTTAGGAATAGAGGACGTTTTCAAACATCTTAATATCCATTCTACAAAAGCGAAAAATATTAGATACTTGTCTCAAATATATTAGAGTGGATTATGTTATCTAATATGTGAACTATTGTAATTTATTTTGTCGACAAAATCATAATACATGTTCTTGGCACGACATGAGCATTGTTAGGTATATGTATATATAATATTTTATTTTATTTCAAGTGATTTGCAGGTATATTGCGTATTGGAACACTTTTACTTTAACGATGGGATTCATATAGTGAATCAAATTTAATACATATAAAAAATTGAGTTATATATTATTGAATTGTTTTAACTTTCGACAAACTACATATGTACTATCACATCAACCATAATGTATATTTCAAAAAATATATAAGTTGGTGTTATATTATAACGTTGCGGTGGTAATGAATACATGGTTAATTTCACGAAAAAAATTAATATCTCTGTAAGAGAAACTTAAACGTGTAACACTCAATATAAAAATCTAAAAATAGTTTCACGTGATGTCTCGGAATGTTCAATAACTTATGACTTTATATATCTATTTTAGCTCCTCTAACAGATTATCAACAAAAATAGGAGGCATCTAACGCAAAAATAGATGTATCTTTACTTTGGGCTACAATAACAAAAAATGTTAAAAAGGTAACTTTAGTTAGCGTGTACACATTATAATGTAAGATATGATACGTATATAGATCTGTGGCGACCCAGTTGGCTGTGCATTTATTGAATTTAAAAAGTAAAATTCAATTTCAAATATTTTTAAGTT